TGCATCAAGGAACACAATAATGGTAGGGTTTTTTCCTAAAAAGATCCTTTTGTTTTGGGGACAACAGAGTTTCATTCAAAAGCCAATTCTTAAGTATGATTTAACTCAAATAGTACAGCTCTTTATCTGTAAATAGTACGTCCAGCTGAGGGAACACTCTGGGGTATGATTAACCCTTTTTCAGTGTCGGAACTTGAAGCTCAGAGTGGTTAAGTGACTCGCCCACGATGACACAGCTTGCATCATACAGAGCTGCACTTCGGTGTTAAGATTCCAAGCCAACTGCTCTTCCACTTTAAGACCTACTTCCCATCGCTGTAACACTGCTTATAAAAGAGCAGGGCCCATCACAAGCCCAGTTATGAGGAGGATAACACTTACACATGCAGCCCCATCAGTAACCACGGGACGCTGATATATTTATCTGGAACAGTGTTGAACATGTTAGTACAAGTGTTTTATGTAGTTTAATTTCTTTCTCCCAATGTTTAACATTGCAGTTCTTCAGAAAGAAGGGACAGATGGCGTGCCTTCCTTGAGAGGTACTTTGTCAGTACACATATTGTACATCTTTTATCCATGAGGAAAAAGTGCAAATCCCTTCCAGGCAGGGCCCCCCACACTCTCTTTCCTCTCCTTGGTGGGAACTGTTACACTGTCCTCAGACACCTGGAGCTCTGCCCTGGCCGCTCCTGTTAACTGACGCGCTCTCCCTCACATGCATGTTCTGCTTCTTTGCTCCTTCTGGTCATCACTCTCCTCTTTCCCGTCTCTCCGTCCTAATGCTTGGCACTAACACGATTTTCAACGTATATACTGAATTCCCAGAAATCAAGCCTACATACTGTCCTGATTCTCAAAGCAACTGCGCTTTCCTCCCCCTGAAACCAGGAATGTGCCGGGGTCCCTCCGATCTACACAGGAAAACCTCTGAGGACTGCATCTGCTGCCCAAATCTTACATGACAGAGCAACCTGTTCTTTTCTGGGTCATATCTGATTTTCCTGAAATATTTCTGCATCTTTTCTCCC